TGTGATAACATTGCAGCCCCTCAGGGGTCCATGGACCACAGGTTGAGCCACTGACCTTTCCCATTGCAACTCAGAAGCTCAGCAGAACCTGTGGGCAGGCCACGCTCCCCTATTCCTCATCCCACTTCTCCAATCTTGGGATCAGAAGAAAAGTAGTGATATGGCTGCTTTGCATCATTCCTCAAAATCACCAGCCACTCACTCTCAGGCAGAGGGCGCTTTAGCCATGCCCACCTGCTCCTGCAGTTACCACTGCTGCACAGCTCCACACATTGGAGAGCTCCTGCTGCCCGTCCTCTGCTAGCGCTTCTGCCACTGACAAGACACCCGAAGAAGCGAAGAGGTAAGTACTCAATCACCTCTTCCTCCTAGCCTGCTTGTGGGCCACATCTAAGCATGTCATGGGCCCGATCTGGCCCATGGGCCTTGAGTTTGACATGTCTGGAATAGGACAATTTACTACCAACAGACTCTATTTATTACCTATATTAAGTTATTGGAACCTTAACATTATTTTGGTATTATTGTAATGCAGTAAAAATCACTGTTACAACAACTTTAAAAATAATCGGTATTACGCTATTTCTGTAATTTTTAAAGATGGGTTATTCTTTGTTATATTACTGAATCATAAGAAGAGCCTGGTTACCTTTAAGAGTTTTAAATTTCCTATCTATTAAAGTAATTCCAAAATCTCTTTTTCCCCAAAGCTATTCAGGAAAGGTTAAAATGAAAATTGGAGTTTAGGGAGTCTCTTCCATTCCAAGAATCAGTTGAAAACACCTGAGCTGCAGCAAGCAAAGGCAGGATCACTTTACAAAGCAGTTATCAAGGGAAATGACTGGTGATAACTTTACTGATTAAAGTAACTCTCCAAAATTTTGAACTTTAGCCACTATAGAGGCAAGACGATTGAAGATGATGTAGGGGCAAAATGAAGACAGATGAAGACTGTAACAAGTTTAACAAAGCACAGATGGAGATTTACAGTGATTTAATGACGCAGTTAATGTCATATTTAAGTGCAATACATAAATGGACCTGAACATTTTATGATGAAAGTCATCACTCTAGTCTTCATTTTATTACCTTAGGCAGAGACTGACATGCACATAAAGTGTCTTTTTCAAGTATCACTCAGATAACTTTTTGCAGGAGGTAATATTTTAATTTCCAGTAGCACCTGTATTTATCCTTTCACACTCTGAATTGTATTATTCATAACAAGTAGGTTGAAATAATGTAACTAAATCAGGGTGAGAGCAAAGATATTTTTTTTTTATTTTAAGAGGGGGAGATGCTATACAGATTGGAGAAAAAAAGAACCTGCCCGAGCAGGGGGTTGGACTAGATGACCTCCAAGGTCCCTTCCAACTTTACTACTATTATTATTATTAACCAGATCCCCAAATTCAGTAGGAACAATAAATGGTACCCAGGTACTCAAAAAGTGAACATCTAAAAATTTGTTATAAAACATCAAATGTACCAATTTTAATCTAAACTTGTAAAAAAAAACCTTTAACAGAAAATGACTATAATGTTGTAAAGTAGCCATTATCAACCTTCTGCACTTCATTCCTTTTGGAATACAACCAGAAAAGCTGTATTGATGCACTGACTATACTATTTAAACTCTCTTTGTTTAACTGGTCAAAATTGTCCATCATAGGGCAAATTTTTTTGTATCTCAAATACATTAAAGTATCTCAAATAGAATGTGTCCAAAATCCAGGACTCAAGGGAATGACATTTGAGAATGTTCTGGCTGCTTCAGTTCTACTTGCTGCTGCTGCACTGCTGGGCTGTTGCTTTGGTCATATTATCTTCATTATGTTTATTCTCAACATTCTCTGACAGTTTCCCAGCCAGTCTTGCAATCCCATGCTCCCTCCCCTACCCAATAGCGATCACTTACCTACGTGCTTGGAATGGAGGGAAGAACAAGGAGGAAGGTCTATGCCACCATCTGGCACACTTCACTTACCTACGCTGCCCCCAGCCGCACAGCTTCCCCAACCCATCCCCCAAGTGCCTTTCCCAAATCAGAAAGCACTTCTTGCACACCCCCAATCTGCGCTGCCCCCCATGAGCCATCTCTGACTTGCACATACATTCCTAAGCACCTCCAGGCACCCTTCCCAATCCACACCAAGACCCTACATAGCATCTCTGCTTAGCATGGTACCTCTTACACACCCCTGCAACCTCCATGCATTCTTGTTGGCCTAGGCCAATGATGGTGAACCTTTTAGAGACCAAGTGCCCAAACTGCAACCCAAAACCCACTTATGCATCATTGGGTGCCGGGTGGGTGTGGCCCATTGGCGGGGTGTGGCCCATTGGGTGGGCATGGTTGCAGTGGTAACGGCAGACTGGGTGGGACTAAAAAGTTCAATCAATCAATTCCAACTTTGCAAGATCTTTTTTTTCCCCGCAAGAAGATGATTGATTGAACCTTTTTTTTTTGCACACTGCAGTGGAGGCCTAAAGCGAAAAGGTTTTATAAAACCCAGCTGAAAGCCTAGGACTGGGGCGACGGTGCGATTGCCCACAGAGAGGGTTCTGAGTGCCGTCTCTGGCACCCGTGCCATAGGTTTGCCACCACTGGCCTAGGCCAAACCTGAGCACCCTACTTGACCCACATGGCATCTCTTATACACACCCATGATCCCCCATACACCCTGAACAAGCAGCAGTTATTTGTAGTTTCTGAGAAATTCTAAGACATAGATAAATACAATAGTATTTTAAACAAGTGAGAGAACCTACAGAATTACCCATCCCAATCTCACCAATTCAATAAATTCAATTGGAAAATAAATAAAAAATAAAAACCTGGTCTGGCTTCAGGCAGTGCAGGCCCACACAGCTGGCTTGAATTTTGAACATGAACATTTAATTTAACTTGTAAGTCAGTCATATGATCAAGTTAGCATCAGTTAAAACACCCTGAAACAAATCTTGCTTCTGAGTCCTGGAAGCCAAGTACAAAAAAGATAGTCCATTTTTATAAAGACAAGAATCCAATGGAAGCAACAAGTGTGTCTTATATCTTCCCTTGTATACCTTTACCTTGTCTTCATTCTGGCTTTCCTGCATAGTTTCTCAATTATTTGCTTTTTGAAGCAATCACTCTACAGAATTCTTTCAAAATCTTGCCACTTTTTTTTAACAAATACATTTTACTGATTTTTTTGAAAAAGATTTTGTCTTGTCAGGTTTTCAGAGTTGGGATTAATGGATTAATACAAGTGGAAACTGTGTTCAGACTTAGCCAACTCACTGCCAGAAAGATAGCAACAAATTGGAAAATGTCTAGAGACGCACGACAAAAACTGTTAAGAATGTTGAAGGATTGAACTGAGAAGAAAGATTACAAAAAGCAAAACAAATAGCTTAGCTGGGAGATAGCTAGAAAGAAAGAACAAGAGAGTGGTCTTCAAAAACCTGACTGGTTGAAAATATCGCAGAACAAGTGCAAAATTAGAGATATCTAGATTGTTTAAAGAGTCCAATTAAATTTAGCGTCAGAAAAAGATGCTAAGTTGTATCAGTAGCTACAAAGAATTCCTGGGGGCATTTTTAGGGAAAGGTCATATGATATGCTCTGATAGCTACCTGTATGACATGGACTAAACTTACAATTTGATATACACCTTAAGATTTCCTGCAACCTTAAAATCTGGTGAGGCCAGGACAATAAGCTTCTCAACACCATTAGCAAACATTTAGGAGTATGCCGCATATAGACAACTTTCAGTACAAAAGATTTTTCTTAACTTAAAATTTTGGCCTTAATTAGGTTCAGGCAAAAAAAAAAAAATCCCTGTGAAACTCTATGGATTGAAAAGCTAAATATAGAAGAAGCAGGATACAAATATTACCAACGTTACGGTATTACGGAAACAGCCAGGCAAACCAACAACTGGATCCTAGAACAAATCAACCCAGGAATCTTACTCAGAGCACTAATGAGACTCCAACTATTGTATTGCAATAGATGGAGATATATTGCATTATGGGAAGTCCATAATGTTGCAGGAAAAAGAGAAAGAGAATGATCGGTGGCAAGATGGATGAATATGGCTACAGCAGCAATGAAGTACGAGGCATTTAAAAGACTTAGTGGAGAGAATCCATGCATGTGGTCACAAGGAGTCAGCACTAATCTGATGACACTTAATTAATCAACCCATCAGTCAGGTTTGAACTTATTCCCAATTTTGATACAAATGAAGCAAGACGTCCCAAAGGTGCTTTTTCAAGAGGCAACTGGACTTTCTTTGTTTTTCCTTGAAGATGTTTTGATTCTCATCCAAGAAGCTTCTTCAGGAGAAGCAAGAACTACTGTAGTTATATGGTCTACAATTCTGCTGAATATTTGAAATAAATATTTGAATTGAAAATTAATTTAACTCTAGGATTCTTGATTAAATTTAGAGGCTGCCCAATTCCAGATAACTCTGGACAACTTCCATTATGAAACAAAGGACAAAAAAACCAAAAAGAAAAATAATAAATCTCCTAAAATTATTGCTTATTTAAAGATGTCTCTTTAGTTTATTGCTTAAAAATAATTTTAATGAATGTACATGCTTCCGAAAAACTATATTCAGTAGTTTTGGCAGGGGCATTCTTCAAAATTTTCATCAAGTAAATTATTACTGTTTGTTGGGAAAGAGGATATAACTTTTCATTATAACTATTACTGGCCACTGGCTGGAAATTTAGAATTCAGCTCCACATAATATTCCAGTGCCAGCTGGAGCTTTAGAAACTTTTCTACATGTTATTATCTACCTGTATGAACAATTTAACATGGGAGAAATGAATTGAAGCAGATTTTATTTTCAAAGAGAAAGAACAGCTGTTTCCTGCAAATTCAAAGTTTAATACATTTTTGTGCAACTGAATTGCTTTCATATTTCTTCCCCAATGAAATACTTTATCCTCCCAATGCTGGTAAAATCAACTCTGACGCTGTTCAGAAATCTTACCTCGTGAGGTTCAATGCCCATTTCTGTCAAAGCTGACTGGAAAAACATTTTGGCTGGTTTTCCCACCACCTCAGCTTGAATATCACAGGCATACTAGGCAATAGGACAAAAATAACACAGTTAACTTTCAAAACAAAAATGTCTGACTTATACACATTACTTGCTTCCTAGTTATTGACATTCAAATGATGGGAACATGCTAAAACACAGTTTAAGGTAGGAATACTATTTGTAGAATAATCTCCAGGGCTTATGTCCAATTTTTAAAGATGCACCTTTCAAGATGTGTTTCACAGAAATCCAAAGGGAATTTATTAGAGGGGAAAAGGTTCTGCTGTTCTTTCACATACTTGGTATATTCAACCATCTTGTTCTAAGTAGATGAGCAGGAAAAACAACTTTGGGAAGAAGTATAGCCAATTTAATGTTTCAAATTAAATATTAAAGTTCTGGTCCCAACTGGGGTCATAAGCTCCAGATGCCCCATTCATGTTCTATGTACACAACCAATCCCACTTGGCAATAGGTTGGATGTTCTGCTATGCAGGATTTCATTGTAAACATCAGCACTCTGAATGGTGGTTGGCTACACACCTCCCACCAAGGAAGATGAATAAGAGCTTGTGAGGTAGTCTACCAAAGACTTGTCTTGGCCCAAAAAATTGCCAAGTTTTGTTTTGAATTAGTTGAAACACATTGTTTTTTTAAAAAAATCCTTTCTCTTTTCTCTGGATAGTCCTGTGTCATTCTACCTGGTGCAGTTGGAACCATTAACTGCTGTGTCATACATATATCTTTTTTTATTCTGGGAAAATAAATGAATATCCTGTGCTTGCGAGTTGACCAGCAGTTCTTGTCTTTTGGGATAAATCGTTCATAAATTAAAGCTACTCTTCATATGTCAACCTGGAATATCACAGGAAAGCAATAGCAATAGCATTTAGACTTATATACCACTTCATAGTACATTACAGCCCTCTCTGGGTGGTTTACAGAATTAACATATTGCCCCCAACAATCTGGATCCTCATTTTACCAACTTCGGAAGGATGGAAGGCTGAGCCAACCTTGAGCCAGTCAGGATCAAACTGCTGGCAGTCAGCAGAGGTAGCCTACAATACTGTGTTCTAACAACTGTGCCACCAGGGCTCATTACACATATGCCACTGGCTATGATGGCTGGGAATTCTGGGAAATGTAACACCTACAGTATGGAAGACATTAGTTTGAAGAAAAAAAATACTATAAAATTAGATACAGAAGTTAGTACAGTTTAGAACACCGTAGGATTTTAACATCTATATAAAAGGAGTTCCCAACTTCTCAAATCCATTTTTATTCTGCACTGCAATACACTTTTTATTTCTTTGATAGTAAATGTGCTGTTTTTCAGGCAACTAGCTGAACCTTTGGGCCAGATGTAATGGCACTGATTGCTGGCACTGATCTGAAGCCTAGTGTAGCAACATCTAGAAAGTAACTGGTTTTCCATTCCTGGCTCTGATGTATTAAGTGAAAGAACCTGAAATTCAAACTCAGTTGAGGGAACTTGGCTTTTTTCTACAACTGGCAAAAGAACACCGAGGTAGACAGACAAACAGACAGGCAGATATTGTGGTGTGGGTGTACACACACACACACACACACTGAATTTCATCTGGAATTCTTACCATAAAAAAATCATGAATTCATTTGCAAAGACATACCAGTTAAGACAAACACAGATATATAATGCAGTATAAGTGTTTCAATGAGCTTCTGGCAGACATGATGAATCTGGGTGCTATTCTAGTTTGATCATTTAGGGGTTATGCTTTTCATTATCTAGGTTCTTTGTTTTATTGTTCTTTGTTTTACTGTGAACTGCTCCGATTCTGCAAAAAATGTTTAGTAGTATATAAATGTGTGTGTGTATGTATATGTATATGTGTATGTATATATTAGTGAAACGTCTGCTGGAACAAAGCACATTATGTGCTAAAACAATAAAATACCTCCAGTGCTTTCATGTATGCTCCAACATCAAGTTTTAGTCCATCTGTTTCTTTATAATAGCGTCTGAAATTAAAAATATGCAGATTTAAAATGCGGTATTTCAACATTTAATCCTTTGATCCACCCAGCATCCTGCATTTACTCCGTTCCCAAAGGCGATAGATTTGGCAATAATTAGCTTTAAATAGAATATAAATAAAGTCTTCATAGGTAAATATGACAAAATGCTGAAAACAACAAATGGTCCTATTAAAAATGATAAGCTATTATACAGGTAGTCCTCATTTAACAATGCTAATTGGGACAAGAAACTCCATTATTAAGCAATATGGTTGAAAGTTGAAAAACTACATGCTTGCACTGCTTAGTGACAGCAGTTCCAGTAGTCCCCTAAACTGGCAGGCCCATTCTAATCCCAATTTCTTTGAAAATACTAAGGGAGAAGTTATTCCAGAGAACTACAGTGAGGGAAAAAATATTTGATTTCCTGCTGATTTTGTACATTTGATCACTGACAAAGAAATGATCAGTTATAATTTTAATGGTAGGTTTATTTTAACAGTGAGAGACAGAATAACAACAAAAAAAATCCAGAAAAACGCATTTCAAAAAAGTTACAAATTGATTTTCATTTTAATGAGTGAAATAAATATTTGATCCTATTGCAAAACATGATTGAGTACTTGGTGGCAAAACCCTTGTTGGCAATCACAGAGGTCAGATGTTTCTTGTAGTTGGCCACTAGGTTTGCACACATCTCAGGAGAGATTTTGTCCCACTCCTCTTTGCAGATCCTCTCCAAGCCATTAAGGTTTCGAGGCTGACATTTGGCAGCTCAAACGTTCAGCTCCCTCCCCAGATTTTCTATGGGATTAAGGTCTGGAGACTGGCTAGGCCACATTAAGAACCTTAATGTGCTTCTTCTTGAGCCAATCCTTTGTTGCCTTGGCCATGTGTTTTGGGTCATTTTCATGCTGGAATACCCATCCATTCATGACCAATTTTCAATGCCCTGGCTGAGAGAAGGAGGTTCTCACCCAAGATTTGATGGTACATGGCCCCATCCATTGTCCCTTTGATGCAGTTAAGTTGTCCTGCCCCTTAGCAGAAAAACACCCTAAAGCACCAAAGCATAATTTTTCTACCTCCATGTTTGATGGTGGGGATGGTGTTCTTAGGGTCACAGGCAGCATTCCTCCTCCTCCAAACACGGTGAGTTGAGTTGATGCCAAAGAGCTCGATTTTGGTCTCATCTGACCATAACACTTTAACCCAGTTCTCCTCTGAATCATTCAGATGTTCACTGGCAAATTTCAGATGGACCTGTACATATGCTCTCTTGAGCAGGGCGACCTTGCAGGCACTGCAGGATTTCAGTCCTTCACAGTGTAGTGTGTTACCAATTGTTTTCTTGGTAACTATGGTCCCAGCTGCCTTGAGATCATTGACAAGATCCTCCTGTGTAGTTCTGGGCTGATTCCTCACCGTCCTCATGATCATTGAAACTCCACAAGGTGGGATCTTGCATGGAGCCCCAGACCGAGGGAAATTAACAGTTATTTTGTGTTTCTTCCATTTGTGAATAATCATACCAACTGTTGTCACCTTTTCATCAAGCTGCCTGGTGATAGTCTTGTAACCCATTCCAGCCTTGTGTAGGTCTACAATCTTGTCCCGGACATCCTTGGACAGTTCTTTGGTCTTGGCCATGGTAGAGAATTGGAATCTGATTAACTGATTGATTGCTTCTGTGAACAGGTGTCTTGTATACAGGTAACAAGTTGAGATTAGGAGCACTCCCTTTAAGAGAGTGCTTTTAATCTCAGGTCATTACCTGTATAAAAAAAACACCTAGGAGCCAGAAATCTTGCTGATTGATAGGGGATCAAATCCTTATTTCACTCATTAAAAAGCAAATCAATTTATAACTTTTTCGAAATGCGTTTTTCTGGATTTTTTTGTTGTTATTCTGTCTCTCACTGTTACAATAAACCTACCATTAAAATTATAGACCGATCATTTCTTTGTCAATGGGCAAACGTACAAAATCAGCAGGGGATCAAATACTTTTTCTCCTCACTGTATGTTTGACTTTCTTTTAGCAAACATTCAAAATATGATTCAGTATATATCTTTCTTTTTTTTATTAAAACAATAAAAAGAGAGAACTGTACAATTCAACTGTTTTTTTAACTTCCTAAACAAATAGGTAAGGAGCAAAAATGCATAGGATGAACAGTCAGATAAGATTTTATGCTATATCTTTCTGCCATTTTCGATTAATCAGCAGAGCCTCTCTTTAAAATGACCACTTGACCTTTGCTAGAACAGCCATTAACCTTCTATAGTCTAGCGTAAACAGCTTAATTTTCTGACAGTGGCATGACAGAGGAAATTACAAAGCCAATTCCCACTCTCAACCCAAAACAGATGCTAAATGTAAATCACTCCATTTTTACAAGGACAGCACTCTGCTTCAGTCACTCTAATACTCTAGCTTTCAAGAGCATACACTAAAACTTTAGTGGAAAGAATTTCTGGGTTTTTTCCTAAAGCAAGTTAAAGAAATGAACATTATTAACACGGCTATACTTTACATAATATTAGTAACTCATGAGAAAAACTGCTGAAAAGGCATCAAATGGAAGGCAAAATCCACACCATCAGCACTCACAGCTCTAAGACAGATCACCGTTGTGATCTGTATAAGATCTTACAAGAGGAATTAAAGCTGATGCCCATTATAAAATATATTCCACTTAATATGCTTGACATAGTTAACTCAAACATGATCCCTACTTTCTTCTAACATCTTTGTATGGAGCAATTACTTAGAAGTAAGTAGAAGTACAGCTGGCATTATGGTACAGCTAATGTGAATAAAGTTATAAGAACAAGATTTAATATACTGTACATCTTACTCAGAAATCCTACCAAGTTTAAAAGTGATTATTTGTTTGTAAATGACTACCCTCCTTTCATTGGAGTTGCTTTCAACAGAATTCCTTAATTAGCAGTTCTAATTATTGTATATCAAAACAATATTTGAGTTTTACAGAATACAGAATAATAGAGAAGGAAGGGGCCCTGGAGGTTTTCCAGGCCAACTCCCTACTAACAAATTCTAAATATCTGAATTTTTTTTAATAACAAGTAATGTTTTCAAAATATCTTTCTGTACATTCTTACAGATTTGATGAGGATTTCTGAAGCATTCATGACTGCTGCAGTACTTGAACTACGGTACAATGGCATTCATTTACTTGAATCTCAGAGAAAGTTTAGTGACTTTTATGATTCATTTTCTTACTTAAAAATATTTAAGCTTGGTTCCTTTAATGCCATATGCAAACATAGGTAGCAAAAGCCAACTATACTGTTACTTACTAGTCCTTTTTTGCCTAATATATTGATGAAGAGATAGTCCTGCTATTGGATACAATTAAACTGAAATTCAAATGATGAGTCAGGAAAGAAGGCAGACTGAGACAAAGCCCTTCTCCAACATCCTCCTGACTCATTGTTTAGTGATCACCATTTTGCACCTAGCTCTCAATTATAGCTGGTATAATTACCAGCTATTTATTGTGTTCCTGAAGGCATGACATGACTTTCCCCAGAAAGACTTGTGAGTCTAACAGCCCTCAGTTCCAAGAAGGTACTGAGGCAACCACCTGCTCCAAAGAAGCATACGTGACACCACTTTAGGGCAGAGGTCCCCAACCTTTTGGGCACTAGGAACCGGTTCTGTGGAGAAAGGTTTTTCCAAAGACTGGAGAATGTGTGGTTTTGTGTGCTGCCTGCATCCCATGGATGGGGCTTTGCTTGTTTGTGCGGATCGGTTGCTGGCATGCCATGGCCCAATACCAGTCCACGGACCGGGGGTTGGGGACTCCTGTTCTAGGGTATGTTAACAGAATCCTGAAAGTTCGAGAAAGCCTTCGTTGCCTTTTTTAAGGACAATATGGCCCAAACATGATTGCTCTATATCTCTTGTTTATTCCTTTCTCTATTCCCAGGGCTGAACAACTATTTCATCCCTCCCACCTCTATTTATTGTTCAACATTATTTTCTTTAAAAAAATGGACAAATGAGGGAAGCACAACGGAACATAGGTAGTTCTTGACTTAGGACCATAATTGAGCCTGGGATTAAGGTTATAAACTGTTGCGGTCATTAAGCAGGTCACTACGTGACCAGATCCAATTTTTGCGGTGTTCATTAAGCAAATGCCACAGTCAGTACGCAGACTACAGTCATTAAGCAAACATCACAGTCATTAAGTGAGTCAATTTGGGCATGGGGCATTTTTTTCCAGAAACCAGAAGTAAACACCAGAAACCAGTAAAAAATGTTACAAATTTTGGTCACATGACCCCAGGATACTGCAAATAGCTATAAAGATGAGCCAGTTGCCAAGCACCCTAAATGTGATCAAGTGATTATGGGAGGGTGTGCATTTGTCAAAATTTTTAAATTGGGTCATAAATAATTGTTAGGGGGGGGGTCTGTCGTAACTTCAAACAATTGTTAAGCATCCCGTCATAAGTCAAACACTACCTGTACATTGACAAAAGAAATATAGGTGCACAATAAAAAGAGGAAGAAAAAAAGATGCTGAGGAAAAAAAGATACTAACAAAGAACATTAACATCCATAATAAAAAAAATAGGTTCAGAAAAGAAAATTGGCAAAGGAGATTATACCACAATTTGTTTGATCTTACTAGCCCTTTTTTAGCCTCACACAAGGACAGCATGAGTTGCCCTACTGTTGGACACAATGGACCAGCCATTCAAGGGATGTATCAGAAAAATGGGAAGACCATTGCCAAAATTAACAGGAATTGACAGCCAGACGCGATCAATTGAAAGTTATGACAACCTGGATAAGCAAGCTGAAATTATAATATGGAATAAAATGGACTATACTGCGTATATCATACTGGAAGAAGGGGAAGAGAATTTTGATCAGATTGACTTGTTGACAAACATTAGTACTCAAATACTGAGATTTGATGACATAGAAGCGACAGTACGGAAACCAGCTTGGTATAGAAAAAAGCCAGAGTTAGATTTAAAAATGTGATTTAAAATTTTAATTATTGGGTCAAAAAGGCTTTAGAAATTTGGACTGATTGGACAATCTAATTGAGTAAATGAAAGCAGTAAGATAATAATTGGTGTAATAATATGTCTGTCTTAGATAGGATACTTAATTTGGTTGAGAGTTAAATTTTACTTAACAGGTCGAAATGATTCTTTTTTTGGTTTTTTTTTTACTCTTTATATAGAAAACTATTTTGTAATAGCAGAAGAATTAGAGAGATCTATTATAAGAGAAGAAAGGGTATTAATTATGATGTATCAAATTAAGAGATGGAATATATGTGAAAATATTAGAATGTTATTCTTGGAATATTATGTGTTTAAAAGGGATACCCAAAATTTTATTAATATGTTTGTTTAAGATCAATTGGAATATTTTAATTGAAATTAGTGGAGCTTAAAAGCAGGAGTGATTTATGTAGATGGAATAGTAGGGATGATTCTGTGGATTGTTTGAATTTTAAGAAGAAATAGATTAAACTAAATTTGCTATATTATGTGAGGAAATAGAGGGGGGAAATTTTTTTAAGGTATTAATTTTAGTTTTATATGTATGTATGTATGTATGTATGTATATGTATATGACTTGTTTTGTTATGATTGATTACCCTTTCACCACGGTATTTTCCTGAGCACTTTGATGTTAAAATTAAAAAAACCAATAAAATGTATATTAAAAAGAAAAAAGAAAAATGGGAAGACTAGGTCAAAACTCTTTTCTCTCGATTGACATACAGATATCAAAACTGATTACAGGAAGGGAAAGTCAATTAATCCTTTACCTCTGTCTTCACCACCAAAATTGTTGGGCATTTGAGAAACATCCTTGGATCACCTTACAAGCTTCCAAGAAGGCAGTTAGGTCTTGAAAAAGGTATGGACATCAAACAAACATTACTATTTTTAAAGATTTTCAGAACTATACTTATTAACTTACCCTCTTCCCAAAGACAGCAGAACTGGATTTTCCAGGCTTATGAGGATTTGGAAAGCATCATTCAGATTTTTGTAGGAAAAATTGTCTGCTGCATCCCCAATTACTACACAGTTAGGGTTTGTTTTTTCAGTATCAGAAAATTCAGGAATGAGATCTAAGGAGTAATAAACAAATATATATTTATATATTTCATGACAACTTATGCTTATTTCCAAATTCGTAATAACCTAGGCCTATTGAGTTAAAGCAGCTCAAACATTACCAGAGCTGTATATTCTCTCCTTCAAAGGTTACAGTATAAACGTTACTTTATAAATCAAAAACTTACTCGATTTTGTCCAGTATAGCCAAAACAGTACCATTCATACCCATAAGAGTTATTAACAGGGCTCAGACAATTTAATTTTTTTCTGATGAATAAATGCAAAAAAAAAATAAAATAAATAAAATTAGAAAGTGCAGAGGGAGCATGTTCAGCAGGCTCCAAATACAAGCTAACTGACAAGAGATGAAAAAATGCATGCTATATATCTCTATCCTGTATACTTTGTCTATAAGAGATGGTCAGGCTGAGCCTGAGGGCGGGGTCAAACTCATCATCAGTTTGAAATTTCTATGCCCCTGGAGACCTAAGAGTCCATTGACTCTTATCTGGTGCCAATTTGCCTTGAATGTCCATTGACACCAATCTGGTGCCAATTCGCCTTCAATGTCCATTGACATCAATCTGGTGCCAATTCACCTTCAATGTCCATGGACACCAATCTGGTGCCAATTCACCTTGAACGTTAGTGGTGCAGATTCTTGTATGTAGGTAGCATGAATTCTATCCTGACTTCTTGCACCTGACATTGTCATTTCCAAAAATCTTGCCCAGAAACCAGAAGCCTTTTAAAAATGGCTTTGATAGCTTGGAAATCAAATAAATGTACCTATGAGATGGTAAGGAGACAACCGACTTTTATTGTCAACCTGATATCTTGTGGTTGCAATTCAACATGACATGAATGAAGTTTAAACCAAGAAGAGGATACATCTACTCCCTCAAGTTATGTTTCTGAATTTAAAGGTAACTAGTTGCATGTGAACGAAGCAGAACTGATAGTGCCTGGAAGCCTAAACAGAAGACTGAGTTTTAAAAAATGCTTCAGGTAGAAAACATTTTGAAACACTTTCTTAGAATGCTTACATTGTCCAAGAGTAAGCAGAATAAAATTGCCTGTAAATTACAAGAAATCTGGTGAAAGTTTTATCTTCATTGTTCCCCAATAGGAAAGAACAGAAAACAATCTTATTATTGTTTTCATATTTGTCTGAAGTAAAAAAGAAAAAAAAGAAAGAAAGGAAGAAAGAAAGAGAGAGAGAAAGAAAGAGAGAAAGAGAGAAAAGGACCTACTTTATGACTCTAGAAACAAGTTTCAGATATGGCAATAGATTGTTTCTGTTGTGTACCAGCTTTGCTGTGAAGATACTATCTACAGGTAAGCAATTTGCCCCTCTGCTCCCATCCTGTACCAGCAAATTCATGAAGATTTTTAGAAGATATTAAACTAAAATTCAAATTACTTAATTAATAAACCAAGAAATAGAAACACATGCCAAGATCTTCAATGAAAAGTTGGCAGAGGATGAGAGGTAAGAATGTTTACCTCACGCTCAGCTTCATGACTTCAGAAAACATGGATTATGAAACATCAGATGCTCATCCCAGCTGGACCATTTTATTATCCAGTTATTACCTCATCTGCCCACTTTCATTGTTAGTTTGGGATTCTTGTTTTGTTTTGACTAACCATTAATCCAAAACTAATTTAGTTTGTAAAACTTAACAGCTTCATTCTTGAATTATACACATCTAAAGTGAACCCACATTAGGTTGAAGTTACTTTATATGCAAAATTTTAAATATTAGCAAACCATCATGCACAAGAAGGTGAGGCCTCAGGTTACGCTCCTTCAGAATTCGACATACTGCAGGTGCTGGAGCAGTGACTTCATTTACTGCAATATCAAAACCCAAATGTTGCAACTTTTTTACAAATCTGTCCCGTGTAGCTTGAGTTTCATTAGTGCAAAACTGCAGCTTTAGACCAGATGCCTTGATCCTGTGACAGTAAAATGGTATATTATTAAGTTAATTAGTTATACAGAACGCAGGATTTAAATGAATACTTCTGTCAAAGCTTATATTTATAAGTACATGCTAAAAAGAATTAGATGAAATGTAAATCACAATACCACGAATAATTTACATTTATGTTTTATAATTATAACAAAAGATTAACATCTTTATAATACAATATATACTGATTGTCTGTCACCAATAGTTAGACTTCAAGGAAAAAATGTTTTTCAGTACAAACACTATAATTAATAATGCCACTTAAGTGGTGAGATGTCAAATTTTAAAAACAAAAGCAACCTTGTTAATTCCATTTACTTGTTTTTTATAAATTAAGTATTTTAATATATTATAGCTTGAAGATTCCATTTCCAAACATTACCATTTGTAATTCATTTTCTTTTTGAATTTTATTTTATTCTGCTCTGTCTCAAGGACTTATAATGGATCTCCCCATTCAGAAAAATATACAAATATATACATTCTTTTCTGTATTATTGGAATTGCTGCACATAAAGCAACATTCTATTTTATAGAACAATATCATATTGCAAGATATGTAAATGCCAGATGCTGTCCATCTTCAGTTTAGGAACCCCTTCCAGTTTGCCATATATGGTATTTATATGCAAAGATGCAATTTAGGCAACAGTAATCCAAAAAGAACCTGGTAGTCCAAGGCACGGGACAAAAATAAAATTCAGAATCCTATGGATGTTGATTTAATTTGGACTTCAAAATAAAGTTCCCACCAAATGCTTTGGACCACAACTCTCCTCGCTGAAGTTCGATTTGCCCAGTGATATCAGATTATAGAAGTTGTGATCTAACACAACTCTTCCTGCCCTACTTCTTTAAAATAATTTTAAATATAATTTTGGCTATTAGGGATCTATGTTTAAAAAAGGTGCTGCAGTAAGAAAATAAAATGATGTTATACACCCTATCCAATAAATCAAAATATACATTAAAACACATTTGTGGTTATTATGATTTTATACTATCTGTGATACTTTTCAATTCAACCCTCCATGAGTATTTTTTTTTAAAAAATGTAGCTCTGCAGTAGAAAAAACAGTTCATGGTCATTTAAAATACTGAAACATGTTATCTCCAGATTCCTTCTTTTTGTATTATTTGTCTTTCCTAATCATACCTATGTGAATTATCAATTATAGTTAGTGGTTAATTGCCCTTCATAAAGATAGCTATTCTATTTTAAATTAGGCAGTTAATATATTATAACTAATAGCATCCACTTGTATATTATAAATATATATTCACTGATTGGAGCAACAAATGTGAGAATTAGTCATGAGCTAATGAAGCAATTGAATAAAGAAGTATAACGTGTACCTAGGGAATAATTATTGTTAATGAATTATGATGTGACCTTCTCAGAACAATGAACAATTGGAGCGACAGTTAAGATGACAGCACTTCACATCTGTTATTCCAAATATAGTGTAAACTGGAATATAAGCACAATCAACATAAATACACATGCCCAGCCTCATGCATACTCACAAACAAAACAAAGACTTTAAGTGGAATTATATGCAATTCAAAGAACTTCACAAACCTCACATAAAAAACAAATTAGACTTGTATGTATTGAAAAAAATATATTGTATGTGAAATTTTGCCTGGATTTTATGGTCATTGATTATTTGTTAAACTTAAGTGAGCACAAAGAAACTTGGGCCAAATCTAATCTTCTCAGATGATATGTCTCTACTGGTTGAATTACCCTGATAATTTGCTGTCTCAGGTAGAAAACTCCCATTCTCAGAAGACATGTACTACATTGGTCTATGAGTTCCCTGGAAGTTAAAATACAATCCAAATAAATTAAATAATGTTTTTCCTATTCAAAATGAGGAACATCATTCTATATAACTAATTAACACTGCTTGTGACTGCTTTACCCCTTCTGGGAGAAGAGGAAATGATACTGCCCTACAGTGATGTATTATATCAGATAAGAAGAGTAGAGCTGAAAATTACTTGCAAGTTGAATCCCTTTGAACCTTTAGTTCAAATATAGTTTGCTCAATGTTCTTATTGTTATTTTTACATGCTTACTTAAGCTTGCAATATATTTTTTCATCTCAGGCTGTTCTGTATTATTCAATTCCTCTTGCCCCCTTTTAACCTTTTGCAAAACTAGGAATGTACTGATGAAAAAGCAACCCAGGACTAGAGCATCCATTATAAAGATATTTCTTCCTGTTATTGTTTTAGATGAGCCATGTGGTTAGAATGCAGTATTGCAGGCTGACTCTGCCCTCAGACGGGAATTCGATCCTGACTGGCTCAAGGTTGACTCAGCCTTTCATCCTCCCGAGGTCTATAAAATGAGGATCTAGATTGTTGGGGGCAATATGCTATAAACCACTTAGAGAGTGCTATAAAGCAGAGGTCCCAACCTTTTGGCCACCGTTTCTTTTTGGGACCGGTTCTGTGGAAAGAGGTTTTTCCACAGACCAGAGGGTTTTGTGTGTTGCCTGCATCTCACAGATGGGGCTTTGCTTGTTTGTGCAGACCGGTTGCTGGCATGCCCTGGCCCAGTACAGGTCCACGGGCTGGGGGTTGGGGACCCCTGCTATAAAGCATTATGAAGCGGTATATAAATCTAAGTACTATTAAGACTAAAGATGTGCATAGGCTAGGGTTACATATCACGATGAGCTATAATTGGGTTTTTTTTTAAATCTATTTAGTGAACTTAGCATACATGTTTTACCCTTCATGTCTTATGAAAGTAGCCAACGGTTACTTATTTAAGCAAGTTATGGCAATATAAACCATGGCTTAGTATTTATTCAGCCATAGGAAAATAAAGGCAAATGAAATAAACACAATTTGGCATGCTAAATGAACACAAGCTCAGATCTTCAGTCTTCAAATTTCCAATTCACCTTAGCTGTTAAGTCTAAATCTTTTCATCCTGCTTTTGCAAAGGAGCAACAGCAGCAATTTAGAAAGCAGCAGTGCTTCAACATGATCCTTTGCTATCTCTCTTCCCCATCTGCCAATTTTTGTCACAACCTTTATGTCATCCAGCATGAGAGGGCAAAAACAGGGTTCAGATTTAACATCCCCATAAGCTGACCCCAAAAAAATGTTGGCAAGGGCAGTTGGCTAAGACTGTACAAGGTCACTGAGGATGTCCAATAATTGTCCTAACACTTTACCTGTTATGGCACAATAATGAGAGTTTTTTTCATTATTTTCGGGTGAATGAACCTGGCAGATGCTGACAGCCAGCAGATGTGTAAAGTTCGAGGTGATTTGTAAGGGACCAGCTCATCTGACGCACAGTAATTGCATTGTGGGACACTGTCACTCAGATTCTTGTCCTGTTCTGTCAGAATGAGGTAAAGGTCAGTTCAAAGAACTGGTATAACATCAGAGAGAGCTCCTCACTGAAATTTAAAATATTTTCATATATTTCCTTCATGCCCAACCCAAAACATAAGGAATTCAGAATTGTGCCCCCTCTTGCTGGTGAAAATTGTGCCTGGAAAAATTAGGGATTTGCAATAGCTTTATTTATTGTTTTCAATGTCGCTTGCAAATGTTTTGCTTTTTAATTAACCTCTCCATTTACTCTCTGAACAGAGTATTTCTTTCTTGATAATCTATCTTTTCTCCTTTTCTAAGGAACTCAGAATAAAATACCGGGATTAGGAAGTAGACTTTCAAATAGAGAGGTCCTTTTGGTAAAAAGAAATCTCACTATCTCCACTTTCCATTTATTTGCTAATTTAAAAACCTGCTATCCTAAGTGCATAGGCCAGGGGTAGACAACTTTGGCTCTTTTATGACTCGTGGACTTCAACTTCCAGAATTCCTGTGCCAGCCATGTTGGCTCAGGATTTCTGGGAGTTGAAGTCCACGAGTCATAAAAGAGCCAAGGTTGCCTAGCCCTGGCATAGGCATTACTCAAGAGTCAGATATTACCTCTTCTACGCCAGTAACTTGCAATGTGATGAACACACGTGACAGACATTCAAAAAAACCAAGCACTCAGAAATCCTGACAGTTGTGCGGATCACCTCTTTTAATATAGAAATGGAAACCCAATCCATTAGCTTTCCAGGCTTGATTTGGAGGCAAATTGTAGTAGTAATAATTACTACACAGTGCAATATAACATAGCGTACAGTATAAGTATTACTGTATACAGATTTATGAAAGTTGACAGCTTGTGAAAATATTTCCTAAAGTTTTGATCTCCTGGGAGAGCTTATTAGTTTTTTTAAAAAAAAAACTGTAGTAAACTTGCAGACAAAGTACATTCTTCAGTTATCAGAATTTTTGAGTGATCCAGGATGCCACTAGCTCCATATAATTTCCTGACAGTTATAACAATTAATCAGTGGAACAACCTGCCTCCAGAAGCTGTGAACGCTCCAACACTGGAAGTTTTTAAGAAGAGACTGGACAGCCATTTGTCTGAAATGGTATAGGGTTTCCTGCCTGAGCAGGGGGTTGTATTAGATGACCTCCAAGGTCCCCCCCAACTATCATCATCATCATCATCATCATCATCATCATCTAAATTGGGAAGTTAATGCACAAATTGCTAAACCAGAAGATCCTCCCTTACTCTTTTTTTTAAAGGCTGTGTTTAGTATGAAAATTTATCTATCTTGCTGTCTACTCTTTGGAACATTATCCCCTGAGCAATTAACAGAATTAAGGAATAACAGAATAACAAAGTTATCCTCCCTCCCTCTCCCTCCCTCTCCCTCTCCCTCTTCCTCACATTTCTATATCTTATTCTTCAAGTTATTATTTAAATTGTTACACCAGCAGCTATTAAGTTTCTGGGATATTTGTTATAACCAAGAGAAATTCATTAGGTGTGTCCATATACATGTAACATGATTGCTTCTTCATAGAAAACTAACAAGTTTTCTTTACTTTTAAGTAATGAACTATAACAAGAATATGTCTATTTTGAACATTAATGTC